AATGGAGTTGAATCTTTCTTGGAAGGATACGATAAAAAGGAAATTCCATTTTTCCCCTCCCTCTTTCATCCATCCGGGATAAAATGGCTGATGGAAGTACTAGCGACATACACTAGTAGATTCAGCTTCACCAACGTACTTACTTACCCTCATGAGCTAAAAAAAACATGCCCAGCTGACTGATGCACTAATGGATATTTTGATGGATGCTAGTAAAATGCACCCAGAGTGATACTAAAAATATTTTTACTTTACTGACCTTCCGGATGCAGGAACCGATCCAATGACGTGGTACTGCGGGGTATTGAGGGATTTTCTGCTGTAGATATCAGAGCTAGGGTCGAATTTTTTGCAAAACCACTTCAACTAAGCTCCAGATCCATCTGTAGCCCCTCGGTAGGACCTATATCCTGTCTTGAAGAACAAGTTCCAGAATTCTACTCGGGTTGGCAAGGATGTGCCCAATACAGCTTTCAATGTTTTTTGCGATTCTGAAAGGCGTGGCGCATTCCCCGCGAGGGACTGCTCGGGTTTGAGATGGCTCTTTTTGACTAGATGACTTTACATTACTTCAAGGAAGGGTAATGTGGGGTCTGCTCCGGTCGCTCATCCTTTTGGTGGCTTTTCTCCAAGCTAAATATTTTGACAACTGTTGTGCTCTGCTTATTTATGCAATGAAGTTGGACGACGATGAATGTTGTCGATAAGCTGCTACATACGACGAAGCCTTCATCACATCGACCAACTTGTTGACGGTTGCGGAAGTGAGTCGGCCGTAAGCAGCGGTAGTCGGTTCCTCTCCTAACAATGTAGCTGTCTCTTTTTCCCTTTCGTTCCATACTTTTCCGAGCATTTTTGTGGCAGTTTTTGCTCGCTGGGAATTTACTGGTTATAGGACGGAATCTCCCCAAAAATGACAAATAATCATAGCTAATCATAGCATAACTAGGAATAGCTTAGCCAATGCATGTAGGCATGACTGAAGATGATCGACAAATAATATTTGTTAGTCATTATAAATGATAACTAGTGATAATACTCTATCATTCCTGATATCTGAAAGTCCCCAAAGTAAGCAGATTTGCTCTCCCTAATTACTTGCTTTCGTCCTTTGGCTTACTGATGATAAATAACTGATAAGGTGATAATTGATAATGATTGGTAAATAGTGATAATTATGGATATTAATTACTGATAATATTTGGTAATGCCTCTTATGCATCTTCTGTAATATAGAACTCTTGTACATCTTCTGTAATGTAGAACCTTGCAAGCGAAGGAAACCCGTTCACCCAAATTCTGAGCTTTCTTCCCTAGACAGCCTTATTAATGAGAGGTTATTAATTCTGCAATAGAGCTGATAGTTGGTAATAATTAATAAATTGGGATAAAGGAATGAGTTCTGAAAACTTTCAAGTGAAACGCTGGTCTGCTCCCTCTCCTAGTCCGCTGACCACCACATCACATAGTTATACCAACGAAATGACTTGAAGTCGCTCATAAAACTTTAGAGCCCTTTAACGGACTTGTAGCTGGGTGGTCTTCATCTGCTAAGGAGAATTCTTTGTAGCGATCGCTTTCCCGGACTTTCCCTCGCTTCCCTGCACTCGATCGTTCGCCGTTTCAGTTTTTCCTCAGAGCATTGAATAGCTCTTAGATCCGTCGGTGATCCGCCTCGGTTGTATAGATGACGTTCCGTTTTGGGGCGATAGCTTTACCAAGATCAATGTCATCCTCCTTCATTGATTTCCTTGGCCTGTTTCTATGATCCGACCACTTGCCCCTATACTTCCGATTCTTAATAGATTCCAATCTTTTGTCCTTTCATCGGTCCCCTTTACAGTATACAAAAAAGTATTAGATGATATTTGTGTGTAATAATCAATACGAAGCGATAATTGAATCAAAAATGATACTAACGAACAATAAAAAGAATGACATTAATAATTTTTTTCGAATAATCTTTTATCTGGAATTCAAGACGTGTAATGTTATAAATAATGGTATTAACGATAACAATAATGATAATTTCGTGTGACCAGTAATGATAATACTCGATAACTGGTGATACCAAACGCAGTTATTGTAATAATGTGGTGAATTTTCTACTGATTATCCGTATTTCTACTATTTGGTACAATTCTATTCATGTGATAATACTTATATAATACTTTTAAATAACTGTAGATGTAATATGTACTCTTCGGTACTTGGTGAGTGAGAAATACCGTAGTCTTTTTATTGGATCAGGTGTCTGACCCTTACAGGCCTAAATGGAAGCTACAGTAATTGTTCTCTGCGTAAAAATTGGCCGTTAACTACCTTTTTGAACATCAGAGACCCTTACACCCAATACCCTTATCTTCCTTTCTCGATGCGCCATATATGTGATCTTCGGTTGGCAGAATAATTAGTATTTGATTATATTTTTTGAACTCTGTAATGAAACACGAAGAACTCATGCCAACATGTTTTCTACAACATTTGTCTGGTACTAATAAGCCATACCCGTGGGATTCAGAGGGCTTGGTTGGATTTGATTAAGAATTTGGTCCTCAGACCTTGCTTGTCGTGGCTGTGGTAGTTTCGATTGCGAATCTACTTATTACTGGCTAATGTTAGCTGGGATTTTACCTCGTTACCCCAGCTAACCATAAGCTCCATACTTTTGATATAACTGCACGTGGGCTACAGGGAGCCTTCTACTTGCTGAGAATCAATTCTTCTGATGCATTTTGATCCTTGATGATCCTAAGGAATATTACATCTTTCGAAAAGAAATGGTGGGCTCAGGTAATCAAGTAGGTAAAGAAAATGTAGAAGTAGGTAAATACCCAATTCGCTATGAGATTTATCTCAGACCTGGGAACTCCCACTGATGCAGTCAGTACCTTTTCCTTCCGTCAACTGCTTCCCCTGTATGGGTCTTCGAGTATATAAGCCCCAGCCCGAAGAAAAGCTTATGAACCCTTAAAAAACCTGAAAATTCTAAAAACCAAAATATGTTTTTCCTCTGGCAAATTGCCCGAGGTCTCTGTCAAGAGAAAGGAGCTCTCAATGTAGGTCCCACTGAATTCCCCAGCCTGTTGCTGGAGTCCTATTTTCGTACTCGGAACTTCAGGACTGGGTTCATCTGCATTGCAAATTATAAATTTGAAAAATTTTGGTTGACAAAAGAAATGTTCAGAAAAAAAGCATATGAGATTATGAGCTACGATGATTTGGTTTGTAAAAATCGTGCCCTTTTCGTACATCTGCCTCGGTCAAATTCAGGAAAGTTTAGCTTCCCCAATTGGTCAACTTTTCCCGTTCCTGGTTCCGAAAATAGGTTTTTGAAACCTCTTTTTGTTCCATGAGACCAAATTCCCATCTTTGGTTTCCGCTTTCAGGCTGTGTCAGCTTGATTTCCACCTAGACATACTTGCAATAGAGTAAACAAGAAGGTGGAGTTATTTGTGGGAGAAAACGTAAATACACGGAATAATTTGGCTTCCTACATGTCTCGAATCTATAAATAATGTGTTATGATGAGGTTTGCTCATATATCTACCGTAATCGACGCGAAAAACTAGGATTAGTCGTATGTCATATGGGAATATGTGTACTTACGTACATGTGTAAAGTCTGTCTGCGCTAAAAATTTTCATCGCACTATTTGACAAATGAAATGTAGAGACATATGCAAGAAAGTATTTGCTCACAGGGCCTGAAACCGTTATCATCGTCTGCAGTTAGTGGATCGATCACAAAACCAGTCCTAACTACTGTTGATTATCATTAATTATCAACGGTTTTTACTACCGTCTCAACAATTCTGATTAGAACAGCTCCATGTCTCAGTAACTGTAGCCTTTCCTGTAGCTTAGCTACTTCAAATGAATCAGATTGGAGGGGGGTAACACGGTTGTTCTGTCGAACCAGCCATAGGGAAATACCTCATTCTGAAAGATGACTGAGGTTGCGTTTATACTTCCCTTGCTTCAGGGAAGCAGCAGTTTCATACATATTGATTTTTTCAATCGCGTGTCGGGATTTTCCTCTGCGGACTCAGATTGACTAATGCAAAAATCTACAAAAATCAATCTTTCATTGAATGGTTTTCTTCGAGGGATTTGAAAGGGTGAAGATGGAGCAGTGGCAAGGGTCTCCGCTATCCTGCGAATGGTTTAGGGATTGCTCAAGATTGAAGACCACGCACACCAGGTTTTTACCCCTCCCCCC